GGGGGGGTTCTGGGCCCTGGAAAAGCTAAGAACCAGAGTGGCCAAAGCGATGTGGCGGAAATATCGCCAAGAAAGAAGCGCCCGTGGATTGTAAATTGATTCATCTATAAGCTTACCAACGTATAACTTTTTTAATCTCATTTAGTAATCTCATTTATTGGCATCCTGTCATCATAATTCACTACAGGAAGCAAAAGTGTAACTTCAATTTCAAATCAATATTATTCTCATTCAAGTTATTCTCATGTTTTAGTATAAAAACTCGATAAAAATGTAATCGATTTCAACTTAAGCTCACAGCACCCTTTGAAATCACAAAACAATTAAAAACTTGATAGAAATTGTGAAATTACAATTGTATTTATAACGATCTTGGATTACATGTATGAAAAAAATTGTAATTGAATCAAATACATATCAGTCAGTTACCTGCCAACTTTCCTCGGATCCAGCCCAATTGTAACTCTTTTTCTTCAAGACCCACAAACATTTTAGCATAATCGACATCTTTCTTTAATAATTCCATCGATTTGTAAAGTTCATCTTGACTTAAACCTAGCTTGCGTAAACCTCGAGTAGCAGTGGTGAGGAAATCATATGGCTGAGCTGAACTGCTAGAGGCTACTGCATTACTATCGTTCGACATATGAGCTATAAACTTTTCTGAGATTCCATCAATCCCATCTATGAAATCTTCACCAGCTTGTGCAGCAGTCTTGCGTTTTTGTTTTTGAAATGGCCTACGAGGTTTGGCTTTTGAATCTATTCCTGGTGATCGATCACGTTTAAATTGCTTGCCTTTCATGACTTTGTTGCCAGGACGAGCGGTAGCTGCTGGTGTATCTGAATCGGATTGAATCGCACGTTGAAGTCGATCTTCATCTAAGCTACCATGTTCACTTCCATCACCGCTCATTGACTTTCCACTTGAGGTATCATTTCCTTCATCTTTTTCAACTTCTTTATCTTCTTCAACATCTCCAACAGCATTGTTCGCAGGAGCAAAAGAGTCGACTTTCTGAGTTCCCTTGGCCATCCCAGGATCCACAATCACACCGACAGAATCGAAAAGCGGGAAGGGGTTCCTTCTGAACCAACCTAAACGCTTGTTAGTTCCAGACTGGGATGAGAAAGTGACAATGTTAGCAATCAGAAAAGAAGGAAGGTATGAATGCACTGGACTTACTGGTACCTTTGCCATCTCATTCCAGATCTCGGGACTGAGCTCGACCATATTCGTTTCGGGGTTCCATCCGGCACCGCTTTTCTTCAACAAATCACTCGCATCTTTGTATCGTTTGTTAAGCTTGATTTGGAATGAACAGACAATCAGCATACAGTAGAAAGAAAGAGACAAAAGTGAAATACCTACAACATTATAATGAGCATGTACCATCTCACCAGTCTTTTTTTTAGTCGCGCCTTCAGTACCCTTCAATTCAGTTGCGACTGCTGCCCAAGTTGCTTTAGAAAAACCTTTATTACTTTTATTATTTCTTTGAGTTTTTGTAAGATGTTCTATCATTTTCGATTCTTGCTGACTGGTCCATTCGCACTTGGATGAGGGTGTTGAGACGATCGGACTGTCTTCAACTGATTGAGACATGTTGGTGGAGGCCGGCATGTCGAGATTGATAAGGAAATGGATTGAAGAACTAATTGAATAACAATCAAGTGAAGATTTTTAAGTTGAAAGTGGCTTGAAGGATAGCTTGAAGTCGACTTTGAGCTTTGATGAAAGGGAAGATAAAGATGAGTTGACCAGATTTGTGATTGAATTGTTTGAACTTGAGGTGTTGAATCGTTGAGGTTGTTTGTGATGAGAGAAAAAGAAAGAAAAAACTTTGATTTTTTTCGGTGAAGTACAAAAAAGACGAATCGGTACTTTGAGATGAAAGATATCGAAAAGATATCTGTTGAAGATTCATAAAAAAAACGATGGAAAGTCGTTTTGGAGAATATGTACAAATTCTACATATAAATGTCAAAATACGTATATGTGTTTTGTTGTACTTTGGTTTACCGAATTGGTTTTCCGGGTCATATATACAACCGAAATTCGATATGTTTTTTTGGTGGTGCATATTCGGTCGCATATGTTACATATGCGTTACCGAAGTGGGTGGTATATGGAAGAAGATTGCGGTACATCTGATATATGTATAATCTAGGAGAAAGCACATGTGCTTGTGTCAATTGGATCTCAACAGTTGTAGGTTTGTGTACAGTCGTTTGCAAAAAGCTTGTCCAAATTTGCCCGCAAAACTCGAGCGATTTGGGATCATTTGGCAGTGAATTTGTGACAAGCATTTTGAAAACGACTGTAAATACCCCTATTGTTGGAACAGCTGTATATCGAGGGTTGAAACTTGATATGGGGTTAGGGTACACCGGGTCGACATATCACAGTCGGGATGACTCGGACTTGTGGTCAAGGATGTGGAGTCAAGATTTTTCAGATCGGTGGCTGGGCGCTGTTTGCCCCTTCCTAAAACCTCTGATCAAGTTTGAGTATCATCTGCTCGCTGCCTTCTCATTTTACACTTTTTTATTTTCATCACCATCACGTTGACTACAAAAGTTATCATCAGTTGAACTTGATATCAACTCAAGCTTCTTCATCAACCGGTTGAACATTGCGTGGACCTATCCAGAGCTCATAAGTTTACTCAAATCATTCCCAGACGTGGAGATTTTCGTCTCCTGTGATTACCTCCGACTTTCAAACGATCCCCTTTCGCATCAGGTTGCTCTTGAATTCTTTCGTCCATCGCCTTTCGAAACTCGGAGTCGCATTCTCAACTGCCCTCAGGACTGACTGATCGAATCTGGAGAAATTAAGACTTGCTCATACTCATTTCACATCACGTTATCAACTATCTCTTCTATCACTTCCCGCTCTTGCACATCAAAGCCTCCCTAACGCCTCAAGCTAAGTTTGCCATTGCCATATCGTCTAATTTTGATCTCGTCACTTTATTCAAAGATTCAAAGCAGTTCAAGCCCAGTACACGTCTTGTGCGTCTCTGCCATCTAGAAACATCAGTCACGCTCGGAAAGAACATCACTTTGTATCACACCGTGTATCGTGGTCTGGTGCTATACCTCCTCAAGCTTGCCTGCCCTTTGCCGATCTTACGAGCCGCTACCCTTTATATCAACTCCAAGTCGTTTCCTCTTCCTCACCTCATTTAAAATTCGAACATTTTTCAAACACAGACATTGAGCTACTTCAAGTTCCTCATTGCATTTTCATTGCGATCACTCGTAAGGTCCTCAAATTATTGTCAAAGTTTCAGGAGGTGATCAAGACCTCATTACCATCACCCAAAGTCATTCAACGCAAAGCTTCATCAATACCTTCAATTCAAGAATGAGCCGTCATCATCCATACGCAGGCTATGATGAGCCTCGTGGTGGTGGTGGTCATCGTAGAAACGGATCCTCCGGTCGATTTCCCACACGTGGTGCCTCAGGACCCTCTGGTGCTTGGCACAGTCGGCGAGGAGGCCATGGCGGCCCAGGACAAAACTGGGAAAATGATTCATCAAGCGGCAGAGGTTACGGTGATTTTGGACAATTTGAGCACGATGCTCCCACGAGCATGTATACTGGAGGTCGAGGAGGGAAGGGTGGAAGAGGCAGAGGTTCAAGAGGCAAAGTAAAGGGTCAAATGTCTAGAGGCGATGTCGGTGAGCTGCTCTTTGTAAAGATCATTGTCACTTTCCCCGCTTTGTTTCTTGAAACCTCCATCTGTACTCCTCCGAGATGTGCGATGCTTTTACGCATTGCTCTTACTCTTCGCAACTTGAGCCGGAATGATAAACTTCAAGTCAGCAACGTCCCAATCAGGCATCTTCGCATTGACTACCTATCGTGCGTCCAATACGCCAATCACTCCCGCGTCCTCGAATTCATGGATTGAGATTGAAGTAGCCCAACCTGTTCGACGTTAAGTTCGCCGTAACGAAAAACTTGCCCAGTTGCTGGTCTAATCAGGCGTTATGTTCGAAGTGGCCTTTATCTTTTGCATACATATCTGCACTTTCAAGACTTGATTGAATCAAGACCTCACATACAATACGGCTTCTGTTATATATATCGACCCGAGTTTGATATTTGGATTGCACCGTTACGATACTTGAAGTCCAACTTCCATTGGCTCCACAACCAAGCATGATCAGGATCATCATTACTTTCTATCAAACCTTTCAATGAGATGAAGATAACCATTCAGCACCACAATCTCAACGGTGATTTGGGTTGGTCTCTCTAGATCCTTTTCACGAAGTCATGACCAATGGGACGTGACTTCAGAGGGCAAAGAGCCAAGTTTGCCGCACTGAATAAGCAACTATCATCTCATCACTATTTGTACAAGATCTTGCCTCTGCGCCATGTAGCTTCCATCATAGAATTTGACTCATTGACATTACCTCTTTCGTATGTAAAGACGAGCGCGACCTTTCCATTGACGAGCGCATTCAACGAGAAAGACCTTGTCGGACACTGTTTGTACGAAACGTCAAGGTGAGTGTACGCTTGGGATTGGAGTCCTCTGTGATACCCTTTTTGACTGAAGACTGACATCTTTTGTGTGCATTCTGAAAGTATGAGACAAACCCAATGGAAGTACGCGAGAAATTCGATCAAATGGGAGAGATTAAGACTTTCTTCGACTTGATCTCTAATCGCGGGATGGTATTCATCACATACGTGAGTTTTCATAATGTCCTCAAACAATTTTTAGCGACGATGCAGATATCTTTACCCTTCATCAGTATGATGTCCGAGCTGCAACTATGGCTAAAGAACAACTACAAGGTAGCGAAGTATCAGGAAGACCAGTGAGTTCAAACATCTTTCTTACAAGTATGGCAAGGCTCACCGCATGATGCTGATTGCCTCGTTTCAATTCTTCAACTTGTGTAAAGATCGACGTACATTACTCCTTACCTAAAGACAACGAGTTAGAGAGAAGATGCGACCGAGACAAAAACCAGGCTACCCTTTTTCTCGCCATCAGTGGTGCCAACCGAGCAATTGACGATGGGGAGTTAAACGACAAATTCAGCGTATACGGCGAGATCAGAAGTATTAAACATTTCAAAGACTCTCCATAGTCAGCCCTGCATTTCTATATCATTTATTTTACCTCAGCAAGCTTCCCAACCTTGTCACTATCACTAATAACCTTTGTGGAATTACTACCGGACCGCAGTCAACGATTTATAGAGTTCTGGGATAGTCGAGCTTGTGAAGCTGCCCATGATGATTTGGTCGGTTCTCAATATCTTGGAGGAAAGCTAGATCTCAAGTTTTCTTGGGACACTGGAATGGTACCTAAAACTAGATTGTAAGAAGATTGTCTAGTCAACTCTCGAACATCAAGTTTGTGTTCTGACGAGCTATTATGCTGCTTGATAGGCCTAGGGACATGAGGGGAGGAGATCACCGAGGCGATGGGCATTCGGGTGGTGCCACACATTACGACCAAGAATATGGATATAACAGCAGGAATGGAGCTTCTGATTATGGGCGTGGTCCTCCTGCCCACGCAGGTCATGGAGGCGGAGGCTATAGATATGGTGACAACAGTTACGATAACGGCTCTCAGCTCGGTAAGACAGGTCGCCTAGTATGCTACTGATGCCATCCTGCGTTCTGACGTGACTTGTTTTGATTGCAGACATGGGACAAGCGAATCCTGGACATCCTTTCTCGACATCTTATGGAGGTGATTATAACAATGCCTCGAGGATGCAAGGTCCATCAGGCTCTAATGCCGTCAACGCCTTCAATGGCGGTGTCAATTCATTCAGTCACATGAACCAAGATCCCTCTCATATGTCTTTTGCGAATTCAAGCATTCCTAACACCCAAAGCATGGGAAATGGTTATCCCATCCCAAACATCTCTGGTGAGAGCGGAGGAAGCCGTCTCAATCAAGCACAAAAAGTCCAAGACGTACGTGCCTCGATAAGTATGCCAATTTGATATTTCCTATCGGGATCCTTGACCAAGAGCTATCCATATTACAGTTGCTCGCTTCTTTAACCAAGGTAGGCGGCTTGGCAGTGGCACCTACGCCAGAAGCCCACCCAGGTTCACAGCTTAATCCGTCAAGCGCGCCAATGTCCAATCCAGGCACACAGTCCATGTATGGTACTTTGGGCAACCCAGCTGCATCTAATAGTTATGCATCAACGTATCCTACACAATCTTCGATTCCTGAAAATATGTATCGATCGACGTCAAACGCATTACTAGGTTTGAGCACTCCAGCCAGTCAAATTCCTGCAAACTCTCCTTACGGTCAGGTTCCAAACCTAGTCAATCACATCACAGGTAAATGGCTCCAAATTTGCCTGTATGCATCGTTGTTGTACTCAATCTGTCATATTCATCTCCAGTAGATCAGACTCATCAACCAAATGGTTCTCAGCCTTCGGCCGTTGCTTCAGGCTCCTTACCATCGGTCCCTGGAGCTGGACAATTGACACCTGCGATCTTGGCGCTCTTAGGACAAGCATCAGCTGCTGCCACTTCGAACACGGCATTACCTGATACATCCAATAAAGCGATCCTCCCTGGTCAGGACTCAGCTGCAGCATATCCACCCTCTAATGGATTTCAATTACCGGTCTATGGCGCACCAACAAATGCCTCTGCGACCCCTGCATCGAATGAAGTCCCTACCGGCCCTAGAGCTATGAGTACGGTGTACCCTGCCACTGCTACAGCCACTACACGCGCGCCAACTGCCTCTGGTACTGTTGGAAACGTACAATCAGAGGCGCCTGTAAATCCTTCTCCTCAAGTCGCCGTTCAACAGTTGTTAGCGCTACTGGTAAGTTGTTCTCTGGACAATGCGTTCTTGAAGACGTCGTCAGACTCCTGACTTTGTGGTTTATGATCACGCTTGATTTCATTCATAATAGCAACAACAACAGCAGCAAAAAAGCAGGTAGGTTGACTTACCTCGTCTTGAAAAGTTTTCATATCACATACCCCTATCTTTTTTCAGTATTTCTTGTTTTATCTTTGATTATCTTCTTCTTTGTGTATTCTATGTGTGTGGTAAAGCAGACTAACAACCATCACATTGATTTTCACTAGCATCTTTTGCTTTTTATCACCCAATTTGATCGTGTTATCTTTTTTTCTTATCTTTTTATTGATCTGTGCTCTCAAAAATAAAAGCGATTCCTGCATCGTGCCAATCCTAGTAGTGTTTTTGGATTCTTTTTTTCTTGAAACTCATCTGTCCTCTCAGGGCTGAGTGCTAATTATGAATATCATAATAATCTACAACAGAAGTCTTAAATAACCTTGATTTACAACATCAAGCTATCCATTATGAACTTTAAACATGAGAGCTAGGGAAAAATGATTGCATACATGAACAAGTTGTATCCAAGGATGTCACCTTTTTTTGCTGTATCTGATCTCACCGCTTCTAAAACCTCGTGGATTAAGGCTTGGACAGTAAAGTGAACAAAAGCCACATGCCGCCATATATGATCTTCGCTAGAGCCTGGAATGACGATCATCTCACTGAAAAGGACAAGACGATAATGGTATTGAGAATCACACGGATCATGTCTGTGAAGGGGCTTAGAATATAAAAAAGTCTTGAAATCCGAAATGCTTGAAGCAAAGTTAAACAAGTTTGCCATAAAAGGAAGTTTGCACACAAACTATATACATAATTTCTGTGGCCATCTTTGTCACAAAAGAAAAAAGGAATTACAAATCTCAGGTCATTGAGCTTTTGCACATTCAGTTTGCATTTGATTACCTTTAGAGTCTTTAGGATTTCTTAATAGCAGGGAGTCTGATGCGTAAAATAGGATGAGATTGGACCTGTATAATTCAGATTGAACCCGGCAAAGTTAATTGCTACGATGATATTCTTTGTCCCAATTTCGAAAACTTGGTAGTAATAGTATCCTAGTTGATTGAAAGTCTGTAAGTATTCTGATAGTAGATACCACTGCGGTTGGGTTGAAGACTTGGAATAACCTGAATATTGATAAAGATTTGCTTTTTAAGATCCTTCGGAACAAGGCTACTTCCAAGTTTCCTTATTGATCACATATTTTGAGCAATGTTTAGTTCATTTTCTCACAATTCCGAACTCCTCTCACTGATCTTAATCTTTTTGGCTTCGGCGAACCCCTATACATTTGACATAGAGTATCTTTTGGACGTTCGCACTATATAAGAGGCTCGGAATGTGGTCTAACAGGTCCAAAAAAATGTTGATTTTATTTACAGTAACGAGATGCAAGATCGAAAAAGTACACGAAGGGTTCCAGAAAGGGTTCCAAAGTGGATTGCAAAAAGGGTTCCAGGATGAAGAGAGGTAGACATAAGAGTATCTGACACGAAGACTAGATCAAGGACCAAACCAACCACGAGCTAAAAGAAACCTACCTAACTTTGCCGCTATGAATCCAGCAGTACCTTTCATACAGTCATTCAAGGTGGTTAGCCCAGGCAGCATCTTTGAAAAGCCTGAGATTGTTAAATCACTCGGGAAGTTATCATCTTGTCTAAAATTCAAAGAGTCGTATGTTAAAAGTGTTAAATATTTCTCTTGGGAGTGAAAGAAACTTTCTCACCTGTAAATCCGATACTTTCCATCCTCACATTTCCTCAAATAAATTATCACCAAGAATCGTGCGGCATGAACTGGAGATGCAGTACGCATGTTACCGTATTCAAACAAATCTGAATAAGCAAAGAAGGAGGTGGAGAATTAGTGAGCTTTTCTGTGCAACGATACGTGATTTGGTATTTGAAGCAAGCGGGGACTGACCTATGAAACCTCGAGTCATATCTTCGTTGAACATCACTGAATTGAATTCTATTGTGCAGCTCTTTGATCCAAGCCGACTAGTCTCGCAAGGGTGACAAGGCGGAATGGACGTCGATCAGCAAGAAGTCTAACGACCACGGTCCATCAACATACACCGTAAGATGTCAACTCACAGCATAGCATAGATTCCTTTTAAGTCTTCCAATGAGTTCTCTTGACTATACGGCTGATTGAAAAGTGGGTGATATATCCGAGCATCATGAGTAAAGTACCTAGAGTAGAGTCTACAGTTAGCATGACCGTTTAACAAATGCAAAGAAGGATTGATGGTATGTCTATACTGACTTCTCAACATTCTTCACTATAATACTTGCGTCAGCAGGCTCAGTGATACACCTCACGACATCTTCAATCTAAAGAGGTACATGCGATCAGCTTTTTGTAATCTGCTTTGCTGGATCATGCAGAGAACTGCGTGAAACGTTTCTTACCTCAGCTACTGGATTGTCCATTGGAACTTGTGATCTGTGCTGATGAATGAAAGGAATAAGAATGCGAAGGGATACGGTTAAAATATTATATGGAAGTGAGGAGCTTAGAAAATTTCCACACCACAAGCCGGTGATTTATATGCAGCGTACGCTCCGTGCTCTGAGTCTCCGACCGATGAGAAAGAAATGAAGTGATTAAGATTGATTGTTTGCACAGATTTAAGCAAATTTAGCTTTCGTGGTTCTCGCTCGGAACTCTTGCCGCCGTGACCACCCGCGACTATTAATATTTAGTTGATGGAAGTTGGAGGCAATAACAGGTCTGTGATGCCCTTAGATGTTCTGGGCCGCACGCGCGCTACACTGACCAAGCCAGCGAGTATACTGTCGTTCCTGAAAAGGTTGCCACATCGCCCAAAAAACAAAGAGGTGGTGGTCCGTGCGCCCTGTCAGAAACAGACAGGATGGAAGCGCTAAGGATGTCAAAGAACTCACCTGTCAGTCAGTCGAGGAAGGTCAAGGAGAGAATTGAAGGCCTCGAAAGGACCCTCTTCTACATACGTAGACCACCACCACTCCTGAGTTTACGGCCAACCACTCACAATAACCATATATTTTCACTTTCAACGTCTTTATTTAAGCAAAAATCATCTAAAAAATGAATCCTCCAAACCCTACAAACATATACGCCAGGTAATTGGAAAATTATTGATTCTTCTAATTGTATTATGATTTTTGCTGACATGGAGTCCTTTGAACAGGGTTGAAGCTTATAAGGGGCCACTTGTACCCATCCGATTTCCACCACCTTACATACCACCAAGTTACACCAAGAACACCACAATCCGTCAAAGGCCTGTGCTGGGTAACATAACCAACTTTCAACCACCACCAACTCTCCAGCCAGTACAGTTTAGTCAAGAGAGATTGGATGATGTTGAGTGGGTGGATGATTCTGTAAACCACGCTCATCATCCCACTGGCATCAGTGATTCCACCGGCCAGGCTCACTTCAATAACCGACATGTGGATTACTCCAACACCTACGACTTTACTCAAGAAAGTCCTTTGAAACATGCAGGTATGTTGTCCATCTCAATGCCTATGTAGCCTGTCTATATTCTCGTTCTGATGAACATCATTGTCTATGTAGCCGAGCGTGTGGACTCTGTATACCCTGTTCTTCAAACAGGCATTAGGCCTCACACCCGAACGGTCCAATTCAACGTGGATGACAATGAATTGCCCAGCCCCGACGAGATTTACCAAGAAAGTCCATCAAAAGGTACGCCATTAGGCACTCTTTCACTATTGATCGTGATTTTCATGTAGCTTATACATATTCCTCTATGTAGCTGTAGCTCAAAAAGATAAAAAGATCCGTGATTTTGCGTTCACCTTCATCTACCGCACTAAGAAACCAGTAGACCCAAGCAAGGCTTCCAATGGACCTAAAGGCCGAAACTCGCGCTCAAGTTATTTCACACACGAGGTGACAGGAACTCGCTCTTTGGACCTGACTGAAACTGCATTTGTGGCTTTCAAACAAAAGTTATTCAAACTGGCTGATGATATTGACATTGACGAAGATTCTGATGGTATTAGTTCGATTTTGGAGGGAGCCGATGGCATTGGTGGAATTATCATTCAGATTTACATACCTGGTCATACTGTGTATGCAAAGGGCAAGGCGGTTTTAGTTAAGACGGAAGAACAATTGAAATCATTCTTCAAGGCGGTTGAGTTAGCCCCCCAAAATGAGCCTGGAATCGTAGTGACAATGGAAGACCCTGCAAAGCGAGCCCTACAAGATGAGAAAGTGAGTCATCACCTTAAGTTATTCCGTAGATTCTTGATCTGACCAACTCATTTGAAAACAGAAACTTTCGAAATCTCAGGCCAGGCTGGTTGCCCAAACGATCAAGAATACCGGAAATGAACCTAGTAATTCAGAGCTTGCGATTACGATTCCCGAGGATCCAACAGATGTACAACTCGCTCTTCTAATGAAAGAGTATGGCACAGGCTCAAACAACACCCGAGAAGGTTATCGTGTTCACCATCCAAAGGACAATTGCAAAGTGATGCAATTGACCTTTGAACACTTGTATTTGTGGGCACAAGAACTAGTACGTTTGGTTATTCCTTGCGTTATTCCTTTGATTTCACGTCACCCCTAAACTTACGTGGTTTGTATTTATAATATATATACAGGCGAAGGGTACTACCGGTGTCACCATACACAACCCACCCAAACTGGATGGTTTCAAGTGGGAACTCATTAAACGTCCCATCGAATCTACCACACCGATGAAGCCCTCCAAAAGAACTAAATCAGAGGAAACCCAAACCCAAACAGACTGTCCCTACTCTGAATTACAAGGCCATTATGACTTTACTATCGATCGTGATCTTTTGGAAGGTTTCAAGAGTCGAACAACTTTGGGAGACTACCTACTATATGCCTGTGTGCCGCCAGACGAAGTCGAAGAAGTGACGAAGGTGTTACAGGCCAAGAAAATACGAAACTTTGATAAATTCTTATTTCCAAAAATTATCAATTTCAAAAACCTCGTTGATTATGGTGTCGAACCCGGTACAGCCTTTGATCTCATGTATTATGCTAAAGATTATTACAAATTTCTAGAACGCGAATACCTTGACCAAATGTTTCAGGACCGCGAAGATTGAAACAAGTTGTTCAACTCTCAAAACAACAAATATTTGTTTCACAATAGATTCAAGTCAAACATCTTTCTGACAATGTTTAACGAATAGAATTCCTTTCTAAAAAATTTGTCATCCACTTGTGTCCAAGTTCAAAACTTATTTTGTTTTTGTCTTATCGAGTTTGTTTCTGAAAAACTCTGCAAAGTAAACACTTCTTCGATTTATATAGATCAAATCATGTTTTCAACTGGATGACAAAGCAATAAAGGGTGTTTTGTCATCATAAAGACACACACTTGATATTCTCAAACGTGATTCTTAAAGAAATCAATCCAAAGACTTCATCAACAGAGCATAGACTCGTTGCGATCGATATTTTCAAACTTGAATTATCGATCGCAAAGAGTCTATGCTCCGTTAATAAACTCTTGTATTTAAAACTCAACACTCCCTCCTTGTTTCATCTGAAACCGAATGGGAATCAGTTCCAAAGTATTTTGATTTCAGAATACAAAGGAATTTTATAATGGAGTTCCCAAATCGAACCCAAATCAATGGACAAAACCAAATTATCACTTCGTGTTTTTCAAATTTTAAAAGTTCTCCTATTCCGAAGCGATTATAAAAAATCGATCGATCTTAACTCCAAAACAGTATTTGTGTAGGGCTTGAGAAATTACTTGTTTGTTCAAGTTTACAGGAGTTGATTAGAAAAAATGTTTTGATTGTTATCAAAAGCATAAGCAAGTCATCAAAACCAATCCGAAAAAGGAACAGAGTTAACAAGAATTTTTTTTTGAGTGTTATCAAAAAGAGAAAACAGCGATCAAAACATGTACGAAACAGGAACAAAGAAATCTTGGAATTGAACCACCAAGTTAAGGCTCGGACAAGCTGGATTGGTTACATTTAAAATCAAGACTAGTTAAGAAAAACGTGAATTGAAACGATCCCAGTAGTGTGACGTCGTGTAACCACTGTTTACGATGAGAGGCTGCATCAATGAGCGAGTCATCACTCGACCAGCCAGTCTCAAGAGGTATTCTGATTTGTTCTCTTGATCCCTCCAGACATCTTCTCTTTGCAACTTTTTTTTCATGCAATTGAAAGCTTTCTCAATCGGATTGAGATCAGGTGAATAAGCCGGAAGGTAAATGAGTTTTACACCTGCATCACGACACATTTGTTCTATCATTCCGCCATGATGAATTTTTGCGTTGTCCATGACTAAGACTGAGTTAGGTCCAGGGAATCGGTTCATTACAGGGAGCTAGACATCCACAAAGAGTATATTGACAGGTTTGTCAACCTATCACGAAATGAAATGAGATTTTGAAAAGCACTCACCAGATTCCGTCTCAGAAACAGCTCAACATGTATTCTTTCCACTGGCCCTTTATGCACCACCCCAGCGATCATTCCCTGCTCAGACACGGCAGGGAGAATGGTCCAATGATCTTTTTCATTGTATCGAAGTTGACGAAGAGTTCGTGTACCGGTTGGAGCCCAGCTACGCCTGCGAATTGCATCACGACCTACTACACCAGACTCGTCTTGAACAGAAGCGCCAGTTTAACCATATGTAGCAAAGACAAAATCAAGAGAAAAAAAACGAACCTATGAAAACAAAGTACTCGGGTGGAATACCAGCCACCTTCTTCGCAAATTGTACCCGATCAGCAATTGATTGGTCTTTGTGAACTCCACGCGTAACCAATAAGGAGAGACCAAGTCGGTCTTTCAATTCGCGAGCTATAGTCGATTTGGAGATCTGCAGGCCGGTGAGGTGGATGAGTTTTTTTTGAAGCTCGTCCAAGTAGATCGCCGGACAGTGGGTGACTATGTCGTTGAGTAAGGCCAGGTGTACATCATTCAAGATGGGTGGGCGTCCTCGCTTCTCGTAGCCAGAAGGATCGGCAACAACTCGATCGGTGGCTTGAAACAGAGCTTTCCACCTACTGATTGATCGATCAGAAATCCGATGACCTAGAGTGTTGTTGATCTCAGCAACAGATCGTCGTGCAAGTGCCATTCGAGTTGCCACAAGCTTAAGATCCTCGGAGTATTTTATAAAAGGCATTCTTGGGGAATGTGGTTTGGTGGATGATGCGGATGATGAGTGGGAAGAGGACGAGGGCAAGGAAAAAAGGAAAAACAGGGTCCTTTCAAGTCTCTTCTCGACTGTCTGACAGGTGAGTTCTTTGACATCCTTAGTGCTTCCATCCTGTCTGTTTCTGACAGGGCGCACGGACCACCACCTCTTTGTTTTTTGGGCGATGTGGCAACCTTTTCAGGAACGACAGTAAGTAAATTTTAACTTTTTCATCGATGATCTGAACACGCGGACAGCAAAAGCGAAACCGACCGCCTGTGTGCCTACGCAGCATATAACTCCATCTTTGGACTGTGACGTGTCTAGTTCTCTGTTATAACACTTATATTCCTTGTTTTTCTAAGCAATCTCTTTCTAAATCTTTGCCTCGTTAAGGCTTTGACCTGGTGTGGGCGGTGGTAGGTCGCAGACTGCCTGTCGGAGAAAGGTTTTAGTGGGCGGGTGGCTCATGAAGAATCATGAGGAACCACAAACTTAACTAAGTCTCTACTCTCATGGATCCACTATTCCATCTATCTTTATATCCTTTTTGTACTTCTCTATGTTGTCATTATGATTTGTTTCTGGTAATTCTTAGGACTTACACTTCAGTAAGCTTAATAAAGCCCCTCACGAGCGCGTTTCCCGCGCCCTCGAAGATGGAGGACAGACTCGAGTTTTTTGGCGGGGGAGCTCCAGGGATCAAGTCTCCTTATGTACTTTTTTCAAATTTTTCACTTCCCCTCTCCACAAGAAGTTCCAGAAATTGGATATGTTGTTCTCCACATCTTGCTACATAATTTGGTACCCCGTATGATGGTTCACATTGAAAGGAAGTACTTTGATTTTGTGATGTAACATCAGCATCTTATATGCTTCAAACTTTCATCGGAGGCATCTCCCAACGGCTTAGGCTATCTTAGGCCATCACAAGGGGACGTAAGGCCCAGTTCTTACACAGCTCTCAAGTTGTTGAGAGCAGTCTGTTTCAGAATCACATGAAACGCACACCAAAATATGTAGAAATACTTGGAGAACAAATATGCAAATTCTGGAACTTTTTGTGGAGAGGTGTAGATGAAAATCTGAAAAAAGTAAATAAGGAGACTTAACTCTTGGAGCTCCTCGGCCAAAAAACTTGAGTCTGTCCTAAGCCCCTCTTCAAAGGAGTGGCAAACACGCTTGTGAGGGGCTTTGTTAAGCTTAACACTTCAGGCTGATTTGCCTGTTTGTCTGGTTTATGTCTTTATTGTATGGTGTGAGGGCCAGTTTTTGGAAATGAAATATATGTAACTTTTTTGGTTAACTCAACAGAGTCCCTTTTGTGGTGTTGTGGTAATAAATTTATAGGGTTGATCAAGAAAAATCAAAAAAGGATTCTGATGCAAGGACACCCCCCCCCCTTCACTCGCAGGACACCCCACTGCCTGTATTGTATGCAACTGGGAAAAAATTAATACATGAGGGATTGATCCTGACCAATCACTTTCTTTGAGTGCACGTAAAATGCAACAGCGGTCCATCTGAGAATCAAAAGCAGACCTCAGATATCCCAAGATGGGATTTGGATGAGTGGTCATACTCTCACAATTTCAATGGAGTGAAGCGTTTGAAGGTGAGTAAGTCCAATTGTTAATCATACTCATAGAAGCTTGTGATTCTTTCAAAATCATAATTTCACTTTTTACCATTGTTGATTGTGTCCATACTTTGAGGTCAACAAGAGTCACAAGAAAGACAAGAACCATGTCATGATATCCTGGGAAGTAAGAAAGTTTAGGGAAGCTTGAAAGAACAATCCTAATGGTAGTGTCAAATAGTGATTGTAAATAAACTTTCTCTGAGCCCACAATTTTTAAGAATCCATCAAGTTAGTATCTCTACTTATCAGATATGACGCCCATCTGTAGGCTGGTCATCAAAAGAACTTCAAATATTAAACAGTAATTTGAAATGTACCTACATGATAATGGAAAAGTCAACAGGACAGTTCACATTCAATTTAGCTTAACCAAGCCCCTTGCGCAGCCGCGTCCGCACCCTGGAAAACAAACTTCCTTCATCCCAATGAGCATCAGGTAGGATGGCCTTCTGGGGCCACTTTGAACTCCCAAACAAGATCAATCAGGTTTTGACTGGTTTAGAGTACGTGAAAGAGGGTTCTGCTTTCCCTCAAAAGAAAAAAACTGGTGGATATCATCAAGAAGGCCACAATAAGCCAAGTTGTCCTCCTTTTGAGATCATTTGAATATTATAGCAGTCATTGTGATTCAAGCCATTTGAGACAAAAACATAGATGTACCACTTTGATATTTCATCTGTACACCACATCTTGCAGTTGCCAACATTTATCAGAATGCCTTTTGCCGATCTTACAAAGAAAAAGCTCCATCCCTGCGACAGAAAATGACAATCAAGATGTTTAATCGATCAAGCAATCAAGCTCATTGATCATGTGATGATTTTTGCTTCATCTGATTTTACAATACAGCAAGGGAGGTATCCTGCAAGTGAAGGGGGGTGTCCTCACCTGAGCATCCTTAAAAGATTATTGCATTGTCAAGTGATTTGGTAGTTTTACTATTAGGGCAAAAGTTGTGTCTTCTCATAGTTTCATGATATTAATTCAATTTGATTATAAATTATTCTTAAATAATTGTCCATTATTTTTGAGATTATCCAATTTGACTCATAACACTACACTAAATGTAATCTTTACCGGGTGGTAAAGAAAA